GAATTAAGGGAAATAATTAGACCAGTTGATGGAAGTTAATCAGCATGAAGCAGAAATTTACCTCAGGGATACTACACCAGTTATTTGCTGTCATTTATCTTGCAAAGTAATGAAGCACAGGAGTCCATAGTCTTCAGTTGGTAAAGATTCTGTCTGCTGTATTAATAGTACAGCTCTAGGGAATTCGTCAAAGAAAATGAAAACAGTTTTTTGAAGAACTAGACAAAAACACATTGGACTGCTTCGAAAACTTTGTATAAAATATTTATTTTTGTTATACATACAATCATAGAATCTTACAGCACAGAATGAGGTACAATGAGGCCTCTTTGAAAGAGCTAGCCAACTAGCCCCACTTCCCCGCTCTTACCCAATAGCCCTGCAAATCAAAAAGAAAATAAGGAAACATGCAAAAGTGGCGTCTTGGTGGCACAATGTTGAAGGTCACAAATGTGGGCTTCATTAAAACTCATGAGTGAATTCTAAGCTTAAGGATCAAAATTTGGCCATGTCTTTAAATGTGCATTTTCAACAGAAAAATTCTTATGGCTAATTATTTCAGATCTATTGGACCACTGCAGAATTGAAGCTTACGATAGCATAAAAGAGATGTAACTTAATGCTGCAGTGGTCCAAAAGATATGAAAGTCTTAGGAGCACAATAGGAACAAACATATTTCCACATATTTCATATGTGAACTCATCTGATAAAAGGTTTGAGTTAAGTTTTGACCTCCATTGCAAGTTAGATATAAATCATATCCCGCAGGTTATTTCGTAATGTATACTGGATATTTTAAAAATTAATTAGGTGAGGAAATAGGTGTAAAAGATGAGTTCAGTGGCAGATTCCCTTGTGGCCTGATTCCAATGCAGCTGGAGGCAATGTACATTCTAATTAGTCTATCGTATGTAGATTTAGAATATTTCTACTTTGAAAAGAGTGTTCAAACAAACTTCAATATACACAATAATTTCAGGCATCCTAGAAATTACAGAAGGGAAAGAGACCATTCAGGTGAACATAACTGTGGTATTGTATGTGTTGCATAATCCACACGCAAAACAAAACAACACTTTACCTTTGATTCCTCCTTTTACCTTCATTGTGGAGTCCTGTAGCTCAGTGGTTAGAGCACTCGCTTTGCAAGTGAGAGACCTGAGTTCAATTCCAGGCAGAGGGCGAAACCTTGGGCAAGTTTCCTTACTCCACACGCCTAATAATAATCCCTCCAAAACAAAAACAATAATAAATTGGTCATTTTCAATCTACGACTGTTTGTGGGACATTGCTGTGCGCAATTGGCTGCCGCGTTCGCCCACAAATATACAGTCAATTCACTTTACAGTCTATTCTGTGAAGCGCTTTGGGACGTCCTCCCGACGTGAAAAGCGCTATATCAAATGCAAGGATTATTATTATTATTATTATTATTTGAACTTAATTTAACTGAACTTAACACTGATGGTTTTGGTGCACTCTTCAACTTTAAGCATTTCTTTGTCGAGAACCTCCTTGGCAAGACTCAGCTTCAGAAACAATTAGCTTTATTTTTGCATCTTGTCAGGTTCTCCATTATGTTGGATCATTTCCAACAATAATGCTAGAACAAACCAGCAATTGTCTCTCTGTGTGCTCGAATGATTCATGGAAATGTTGACGACTGCTTGCGTTTGCAACACTTTTTTCATGCTGGCACACTTTTGCCCTTTGTAACCCAGGTAAAATGTTTATCCAAAAAGGCTCCACAAAATAGTGACTGAGTTTCATATACACTTTTTTGTGCAGCTCTTTCCCAGAGAGTGTTGCTGTCTGGAATTCTATTCCGCAAGTGTAGACATTTAAATGTGGAGCTAACCATAACCATTTGCTGAACTTTGTGAAATCTAATGCTTGCAGGAACTCCAGTCCAGTATATCTATCTTTTTATGTGCTTACAACAGCTACTATGATTAGTTTTGTTAGATATTTGAGCTTGTTGACTCCAGTCATATTCTATTGTACTGTTTCAGTGCACAAAAGCATCAAGCAAAAAAAGTGGGTACAGTGAGTTAGAGAGGAGTGAAAAAGGGAGACTGAGTCAGCAAAACAAAATGGACACAAGGAGAAGAAAGACATTGATGAAGAACGTATTCCAATGAATGTAATCAAAGTGCGGTGGCTTATTTTGTCTCTACAGAATAGATATGTCACCATCTCCATCAATAAAGACAACTGGTGACTAGATTAGTGTAGGCAGATTTGGACAGAAACCGATGGTGACCAAACAAATGGTATTACTTTCAGCACTGAGTTATTCAAGTCAACAATGCTGTTGAGCAAGATGGAGCATGAAGTTGCTCACACTTCTGAAAAGGGCTGCACATTCTCTAGTGAAAATTATGTAGCTTTTTGATTGGTAATCACATCTAGTCAATGACAGGGCAAACAGTTGGTGAAGATTGGAAAAATGAGTAGAATTGCTTAAAAAGTTCAGCCTCTGTTATCATCGTCAACAATATAATTAGGACTACACCTTCCTGGTATTATCTCAATGAATCTTCACTGCAATATCTCCATGTCTGAGATATAATTAATGTAATGGGACAGCTACAGTTTGGATGCAGCACTCTAACCATAGTTGATAGTGCATTGTGCTTCAATAAATGTATATAAAAAATATTGATTATCTTAATTGGTTTCTTGTTTTAGAAATTAATTTTACGCACCAGATAGAAACTATTTCCTGAAAGAGGGAAAAATTGGATGCTGTGCATTGTTCTTTATCAAGTGACCTCGGCTGTCCCTTTCAGATTAAAGTGACACAAAGGGTTATATTTTGTTGCCATGTTATGCTAGAATTCCATAACAGCAGATGACTAACACCAGGGAATAAGGATATAATTTCAATGACATGTAGTTGACTAATGAATAACAGACCAAAAGAAAAGACTAAAACTTTTTATTGATTCTTGCACATTTTTAACAAAGAATATGCCAATAAATAAAGAAATAAATATTTTTTGAAAACGGACAATGAGACCTTTCATTTCTTTAGGAATGTATTCTTCAGTTCCTGTTTGTAACCTGTTTAAATTCTAATGTCACCTCAAGCATGACCAGATGAAAAATAACAATTAACTTAACATTCAGTGATTTTTTTTGATCTATTCATTGCATTTCTGTGTGGCGCGAGGTACTTTGCATTGAATCTTTGCTGGCTGGGTGCAAGAATATCTTTTTTTATCAATGAAAAATATTTCAAGACATGCCTAATTGCCCATGATAATCACTGTATGAAATGGAGCCATACGGACCAGGAAGTTCCCAGGTCTGTACTGAGTTAACTGGGCTTACTAGGATAATGCTGGTTTAGAATTTGCCTAACTCCTCCTTATTGCTGAGAGAAGAAATGTTCATCCCAGCAATCTGGACTGGATTTCGACTTGGGTTGCACAGGACAGGCAGTAATCTACTGTATCCTCCATATGTTTCCTAAATGTAAGCAACACAAAATACTATTAGAATCCTTCCAGAAATTCATTTGGAGAATAGAATTGAGCTGAATTAAAATGATGGTGCTTGTTAGCAATAATTAAATAAGTAAGAACATTATATTTTTCATGACTGTTGAAAAAAAATTATCAATTCAGTTACAATTGAACAAAATGTCACCTCAGTAAAATAACCACTTCTGCAATTTTATATGTCCGAATGTTTTCCAAGTTCTGCACATAAATTAAAGAAACAATAGTTATTTATGCACACTGATGGCAATAGTTTGTCTCTTGTGGTTTCCTGATGAATGTCATGTTTTAAAAAAGGTATTGTATAGCAGATACTTCATATTGAATTATTCTACAGTGCAGAATGTTGTAAAGCAAGTAAAATTATTTGTAAATCCAATTGCAGTTCTTAGAACTCTCCAAACATCAACAACCACAACAAAATTACATTTGTATAGCACCTTTCACATCGGGAGGATGTCCCAAGGCGCTGGCATACTAGACAGAGTGCACACCGAACATGAAAGAAAGAGAAACATACATATTTGGAACTTTCAGTAGTTTGGCTTGGAGAATCTTAAGCGTGGTGAGACATTTCTGCCTGTCTCAGATACATGCCTGACCGAAAGCAAAACAAAATTCTCATATCTCTGTTTTTCGGTTTAGTACTGCTGCTTGGAAACAGCCTGGGTACTCCTTGTGATCAGGGAATTCTTCATTGCATCTGTTTGGGACCAAATGTACGCGAAAATGTAATGAGAAATGGTGTTGCTTTACCATGCAAAGCTTCTTACTAGATTGCAGGTCATTGAGTAATTAAAACATAATCTGCAAATCTAGGGCATATTGATTATATTTTAATATGAAGCTTGTCAGTAGTATGTCTGGTTCGAGGATTTCCAACTGCCTTAATCCCAAGCAATGTATTCAATGTCTGACATTGATTAGCCTGTATGTACCACATACACTGCATTTATTGACAAAAAATACGTTCAATAAAGTAGATTATTATGTAAGTTTGGAAGATAAACAAACCCAGAAATTCAATGTAGGACTAGATTTCCTTCAGATTGTGAAAAAAATCATGTAATATACTGTACAATTTTCCTGTACAACTAATCAGTTAACAGGCTTGTAAGATTTGGGTATTAAATTTCAATGGGCTATAAGAAGAATATTTACATTACTTTGACCTATCTCTTCATGAAGCTACTTGCTAACCTTTACACATTCCTGTGCATGTCATTTTGGATGCCTCTCCATTTCTTATCGACTTGTGTCTTTGCTGTCTTTGGATGTTTTGGAAGCATATTGCATTGAATGGAAAGTGTTTCCATTGGTGGAGGATGCCTCTTCTGCAGGGACAGTGTCCTTCAGTCAGAACACTGGGCGCTGATCCAGACTCTAAAATAGTTTTCATTCAACCTGATCCCTAACTGTTATCAGATGGAGCTGCAGCTGCATCTGGAGCTGAAGCGTGATATTTCCTTCACAAGCTTGCTCAGTCTACAAACATGGACCGGGCCATGATGCTACCCAGTTATCAGTTCAACCATTTTGATGGTAATCAGCAGGGTTAGGATTTGGCTTAGACTTGAATTATGTTCAGGATACTTGGCTTGATCTTGAAACTTGATGCCTGGTGACCAAACTGCTAAAAGAAAAGAGATTCATCTTTCATGACATTTAAATTGCTGAGCTGAAAGCGAAGCTTGTTGAAAACTACTGAACAGAGTCGCTATTCAAACACAAAAATCCACAACACTCAATGATCTTAATCATGATGCTGTACATTGTTTGATAACTGGTTTAGGAGATTAAATCAAATAAACGTATTTCCCAGATATTAATTTGCAATGTGTTGTAAACCATTTTCTTCCATTTCATGCAGAATTTTTTACTTTCTTGATCCTTTCTTGTTCATCCGTTTTTGTTTTCACTGTCAAATTGCTGGCAATTCAAAGCAACATGAGCTCAACATTTAACATTATGTATAATCAAAATGTAAACGTTTTGACTGAAGGAATCTGTAGCTAACAGAAAAAAAAGGTAGGAGCAATACTCCGACTTTAAAGACATTACATGCATAACTTCCATTGTCTGTACTTTTTAGATGGGTAATGTAACTTACCTGAAATGTCTATTCAAATAATTGTAGCACAGTATTAAAAATTGATAAGACCATATTAATTCTCTTTTTTGAACTTTGTCCTTTATTGTACTGCTCAATTCCTCTTACCTACATTTTGAAATCTAACTTTCTATTTAGTGATTGAAAAAACAATCTGTCATGCTTTCTTTTCTTTCATCACTGACTGTGCTGCCTCTCTTTGACATTGAACTGTGACTCCAGACTGGCAGTTTGAGGGTAAGATTGTGAAGTTATACCAGCTTATCATCTTTTTAGTTATTTTATTTTCTTGCTCAGCTAACCTAGCACTTTACATTCAGGGCGGCCTTTAACATTGTTTAAGCGTTTGTGATGGCACACAACTATAAGGATGCATACACAAGTTCTAATGAAAGATTATTCCATTACAGAATATTGGTACATTTATACTGTACCTTTTATCTATTGTTTTCTAATCCTTTATTCTTAAATGTTAGCATTCAGATTAAATGTTTAATACAAAAGCTTGTTATAGTCCCCTTAAAAATGGTGCGTACGAGTGATTAGATGTTAAGGCATGTCTACATGATTGTCTTACAGTGCGTAACACCTGTTTTGTTTTGTAACTGACAGATTGCAAACTGGCCAGATCAGGTCCTCCAGCAACAATAGTGGCAATTGATGAAGAAAGTAGAAATGGTAAGTGTGTTTTTTTAAAGATATAGAAATCATGTACTTGTTGCAACTTGTTTCATACATTGAAGCACAAAAATATTGTTATAAATTGTTGATTAAAAATTATTGGAGACTGATATACATTGAAATAATGTTTTTTTGTGAGTTGACATCCAGTCATTCTGAGTACTTGTGTTCCTTTGGAATTGTGGCTTGTTTCAAATTGTTTAATGTAGGATGAATTAGTGGTTTATACTTAATATGTTTCATGTTGAACTGATCTTGTTAGTTCAAAGGTCTTTTAATTTTCCTTTCATAATTACCTTACTAGACAGTGTAATAAATCAAAAATGTAGCTTATCTTTATCTTTCATATTAAACAGGAGATAGGTAAAATAATGACAATTTAGACACTAACAAGGCATTCTTCTTCATAAATGTTATTCAATTCCAGATTTACAACTGGATGAAGAGATAAATTTGGGGTTGTGCAGTCCTTTATCTTCTGGCCTTTTAAATGTCACATTAGCTAAATTCCTTTCACCATCCTACAACTTATACTGATACACAGAGTATTTGTTCCTTCCATTGATCATCATAGTTCTCTAAAAATGCATATTATGTCTATGTGCTACTCTTATTCACTTCAGCTTATTATCTAGTACAAAAATTTCTACTTACTCGTTTAATATGCAATTTATTCATGGTCACGCCAATATGAAATGTTACTGTTTAAGCAAATATGAAGATGATAGTTCAGACAAAAACATAGGAGAATTTGCGCAAACTACATATCCGATTAGATAAGGCAAGATACACATTAAGAAATTAAATCTACAGAAATTAGATTGCTTTGAATTTTTGTTAAATATAGCAGTTAATTTTCATTTTTGTATTAATCAGTTGAGGATTTGTAATTATACAATGCCCTTGATTCACACTGTAACCTAATTAATTTGTATAGATAACAAGAGAATATTTGCCTGCAAAATCTTCTACAAAGTTGTAGCAATAGCAAATTAAAACCTATGCATGACTAGCCTAATAAGCCTATTACTACTTGTTTCTTTTTTTGTCAGGCTTTGTGTTAATCTTCACAATAAGTCACTCATTTAATTTATGTATATTAGGCTTTGCAGACTACATATCTTTTTTCTGAAGGTACTGTTTATCAGCACTAAGCATTTGTAGAATTTGGGTCCAAAATTTGGAACTTTGATGCAGATCAGAGTTTGAATGTATAAGGGTTGAGCATGTGCAGATGAACCTTCATTGGACCTTAAGCAATTGCTTCACCCCTCTACCTAACTGAGAGGGACTTGAATGTTAACGCATAAACCCCACTGAACCAACTAGAATTTTCCAAGAAAAATAACTATAAAACTTGAAGCAGTTACAAAAGTAGAATGAGTTATTGAACCAATAATAAACAAAAGTCTTCCATTTAGAACTAATGCTAAATAATGAGCTTTGTGATATCAGAATTCAGAGAACGTCCTTATTTTGAAAATACTCAGTAGTGACACTGAATCTGCAGACCAGTTCTACTATGAATTGCAACAAGTTAATGTAAGATCTACAGTTTACTGCACTGTTGATTTACAGGAATGCTTCTGGTTAAAATAAGCAGTGTAAATTTGCCTCAAGCACGTCCTTGATTCTCGGGATGCTTGTATGCAGCCCTGGGCTGCCTTTTGCATTTTTTGTAATATTAGTGAAGAGCTGGTTGGTATTTTGGTAACATTAAATGCTTTAGACCATTTCAGATGTTGGCACTTGTGATTAACAACAAGTATATGAGAAGTTGGTAATCAAGTGGATTGAAGCCCTTTGTTCATCTGAACTTCTTTTGTGAGTTACTCTATAACTCAATGCCTACTGGCCTTCAGTTTTCTATTGCAGTAACTAGCCTGACATTGGCACCTATAATATTACTGGGCCAGTAAACCACAAGTCAGCGATCACTTTCCTGTTAAACTGATGTTAAAATTTAAGTGAAATCTAGCAATTCTAGTCAGATCATTAGCAGTGAATGTTCTAAAGTAGAATTAATGTTTTTCAGTTGTTTTTGATAGGATCAGCTATGTTATCTGCTGATAACGTTGCGCTCGAACATGTAATATACCTCGAACGCTGGTCATGGTACTCTAGACATCTGAGTAATGAATTCTCTGGTTTCTTGAAATGCTCATTAAATTTGCTTTAGGAGTATTGTAGGATATCCCATTTATAAACTGAATTACATTTTGACTTGACAAGTGTTAAACTAGGTTTTCATGAAAACAAAGTACAAGGTTCTTGCTCTTCAGAGCTAATACAACTACATGTATTTTAGTGAGGACTGAAAAGACTTGTTTCGGGAATTGTTGTTTGATGACTGACTGACTGACTGACTGGAATATCATTGCTGAAAGTGTTGATAATCATAATATTCTATTGTCATGGAAGAAAACGATTAAGCTAACTTAAACATTGCACATTGCACTGAAATATTTTTCTGACATAGAGAGCAGTGCCTTTCAACATTATTAAAAATTGATTGAGAAAAATAGCAGCTCGTGATTCAGTGATTCAGCAGTGGGACCTGCACCACTGAAAGAAGGATTATACTATGTGAAATCCATAACTTGCCTAACTGTATCCCCAACATCACCTTTTTCTGTCTTTGTATACTCCAACATCCACCACGGATGGATTTGTAAGCACCTGCCCTTGTCACAGTGGGTTTGCTCTGCCACTTAATCTTTTTTTAAAAAAATTCCTAGCGGACCAAATCTCACTTCAGAGACGGCAACAATAACTCTACTACCTGACATATTTCAAACAATCTTTGGCAGTGACTGATTTCTTCCCTGCCACATGCAAGTCCCTATACTTAAGGTAGCCACCCAAACCTCTGGCTGCACTCAGTGATCCAGCAAATGCATTGTAATGGATCTTTCAGGAGGCCAATGTATTATTCACATCTGTGACCTTTTGACTAGGCTACTAGTTGAATAAATGACACATTCCCCTATTTTGATACTATTGAAGCACAGAAAATAAAAATGTGTTCCACACACTTCTGTTTATTAATTATTATGTTTCAGCAGCAACATAACACAACATAACATGTAGGAGCAGGAGTAGGCCATTCGGCCCTTCGAGCCTACCCTGCCATTCAATCATGGCTGATCTTCTAATCTAACTCCAGCTAATAACCTAACCCTGCCTTATCCCCATATCCCTTAATCCTTTTTGCAATAAGAAATCTATCTATCTCAGTCTTGAATATGTTCAACAACTGAGCATCAACAGCCCTTTGGGGTAGAAAGTTCCATACATTCACCACTTTATGAGTGAAGAAGTTCTTCCTCAACTCAGTGCGAAAGGGCTGGCCTCTGATTTTAAGGTTGTGACCCCTGGTTTTAGTTTCTCCAACCAGGGGAAACAATCTCCCACTATCTACTCTATCATGCCCTTTGATGATCTTATAGGTTTCTATAAGATCCCCTCTAATTCTTCTATATTCTAGAGAATATAGGCCCAAATTGGTCAGCCTATCCTCGTAACTCATCCCCTTCATCCCTGGCACTACATCCTTCCTTAAATAAGGAGACCAAAACTGCGCACAGTATTCCAGGTGTGGTCTCACCAGGGCCCTATACAGTTGCAGAAAGACTTCCCTACTCTTATACTCTAATCCTTTCATAATGAATGCTGACATACCGTTCGCCTTCCTAATTACTTGCTGCACCTGCAGACTAACTTTCTGTGATTGGTGTACAAGGACCCCCAAGTCCCTCTGGACGCTAACACATTCCAATCTCTCCCCTTCTAAAAAATAACCCGCTTTACTGTATTTGCTACCTAGGTGGATAACTTCGCATTTCCCTACATTATACTTCATCTGCCATCTACCTGCCCAATCACCTAACCTATCTATGTCTCGCTGCATTTTTTAATGGCACCCTCTGTGTTGACACTTCCTCCTAGTTTTGTGTCATTGCTAGCTTGGGGATTATGCTTGGTTTACCCTATGGAATTCTACTAAGGCTTCCATCCAAAATGTGGATAAATTTAATTGATAGCTCTACATCACTAGAATATATATTTTGGGATATTTTACCAATGTTCAAGTTAACCAAATACTTTTTGTCACTTGTAGGTAATAGATACCTGTCATTATTATGGGGATTTAGTCATGAATTTTAATCACAGGAAACAAACATTTTGCAGGACATAGAACCTGATGCCCCCAAGGGAAACTCAGGATATATCCTTGTTTGCTGCTAATTGGTCCAAAGAGGCTACAGTTTGCTGAAATTGTCCCCCGTGTTGTACTTCACCATAAATGGTCTCTAACTTCGACATAATCTATGACCGATCTGTTGCTGCTTATCAAAAAGAAGAGGTATTGCAACTTCCACCCACATTATGCATTAGAGAGAAACTGAAAAGCGATTTAAAATTCATTCTTCATAATTTAACATCAAATTTGATTGGACAGGAATCCGAAAATATTTGTGACTGTTTTTGGAAATTCACAGTACACATTGATAATTTCTAAACAACCACATCCACCAGAATACTTCCATCTAAACCAATCCTATAAAATTTGTACACTGAATGCAATTAGGAAAAAAATGAGACTAATCTAATTTGGCTTAATACCAATTCTTGCAGTGCACTGAGAAATATTTATCAACCAATTTGAATGTGCTGGGAAATAATGCAAATCTAGGAAAGGAGTGTTGATATGTCACAGATCTTGGATCTCTTTAATAATTTTAAGAAACTGTCAGAAATGATTTAACACCAACAGGGTGTAGCTAATATTATATAATGGCATGTCGTTCCTCATTTTGTACAATTTCAATCCAATTTTATTTTTATTTTCTCGTGCCTTTAGTGCCTTAGCTTTGAAATGAAAATATACTAGCATTCTTATATCTCTATTAATACTGTACTTTTTTATTTGAATGCTTTCTATTTGGCTGAGCAATATTTTTTGTATATATACCTTTTCTGATCCATTACTCCCG